AAGGAAGGCTCAGGAGAAACTTGTCAGTAACCTGAAGAGGAGTTTGATGAGAGATAAGAGAAAATGGAATCAATTGTTTGTTCTTTGATGGAAAAGGATGACACTAAAGTGTTTCACCCAGAAGAGTTGGAGATTCTGACAAGTTGTTCCCTGCCATGGTGAAGGAGGAACACTACTCCTGCTGCAGTGAACCAGGAGGGAAGTATTTGTGGCATTTCACTCCAGAGAAAGATGACATCAGGAAACCAGCTGAGAGAGTGGCAGATAACATTGTGAACTGGCTCAGAGAGGAACGTAGACCAGACCCTGCAGGCCATTGGAGGGGACAGCACCAACACGAACACAGGGTGGCAAGGGGGGGTCATACAGTGGATAGAGTGGAAGATTGGGAGGAAGCTGGTCTGGATTGTTTGTGACCTCCACACCAACGAGTTGCCACTCAGACATCTGATCCAGGAGCTGGATGGCAAGACTCTTTCAAACAACAGATGGTCTGGTCCTCTTAGCAAGATGCTGGACTCTGCCACTGAGTTGAAATAAATCAGAGCTTTGAAAAAATCACGGTGGCCTCCACTCGTTGAAGCTTTTTTATACTGTCGTGACGACCTGAGTACTGACCAGTACTATGGTTACATGATTTGCAGTGCCATCAAAACTGGGGTCATGCCTGATAGACTTGCTTACCTGCAGATAGGTCCAGTCTCACATTCTAGGTGGCCCACAACGGCTCTCAGGTTCTGCAGAATTTGGGTCGCTCATCATAAACTGAAAGGGAACCAGCTTCACAACCTGAGACTTATTGTCCAATTCATCGTGAGTGTCTACTTGCCAAATTGGTTTAACACCAAGGTCAAGTCATCGTTCTCCGAAGGTCCGAGGCATGTTCTCTTCCAGCTTGAGCTCCTGAGGAGTCAGCCAAGGAAGGTTGTTCAGATTGTGGAGCAGACTGTGAGGAGATCTTCCTGGTATGCTCATCCCGAGGCAGTTCTGCAGACAATGCTCTGCAGTAAGGATGAGGAGGAGAGAAGAGTGGCAGTCAAAAAGATCTTGGATATGAGACTTATGAGAGGATCTGGGCATGACGAATCAGTTGGTGACGATTCCTTCAGGGTCAGGAAGACTCCTGAAGTCAATCTAGGTGCCAAGACCCTCACTGATCTCATAGATCTGCATAACATCAGGCTGGCAGTGAGCCCCCTCTTACCTGCAGCCTCACCAATGTTCAAGTCAGAGCTTTCCTGGACAACCCCATGCATGTCCTGCCTGGCCCTCGCACACCCAGAGTATAAGCGTTGTGTACAGCAAGTGGCGAGGCCAGCAGTCACGTGTACACCAGGAGAGGAGGAAGGCTACATCGAGGCTCAGGTGGTCAGCAGGGAGGTGATGAGTAGAAACAGAAGCAAGAAAGACATGTTCTCTATGGTGTGCAGCAACACCGGGTCGTAGTAGTAAAACCGGTTTTTGAATTTGATGATTTTGTTTTCTAAAGGAATATTAAATTTAATAAATGTGTCAAGATCATTCGTTTCACTATTCTGGATCATTTTCATCCTAATAAATTAACCTGATACATTTACTTTACTTTAAATAAGCTATTTAGTGGTGTTGGTAAGAGGGTGGGAATACTGAATTTTCATAAGATTTCAAGTTAAAATTTACCTAGCAAAAAATGAAAACTTTTCAAATCTGAAGATATCACATGATTCTGCACATAGAACTACATCATTAATACCATGGGCCGATTTTTCAAACTCAAAAAAAAAAAACTCTCCTCCGTATGACACACCCTAATACCCATGGTTAATGATGATCGTGATCCTCATTATGGTCTATACCCATGGTTGGTGACGATGATGATGCTGATCCTCCTCATGGTCTATACCAATGGTTAATGATGATCGTAGTCCTCCTCATGGTCTATACCCATGGTTGGTGACGATGATGATGCTGATCCACCTCATGGTCTATACCAATGGTTAATGATGATCGTAGTCCTCCTCATGGTCTATACCCATGGTTAATGATGATCTTGATCTTCCTTATGGTCTATACCCATGGTTGGTGATGATGATGATGATCATGATCCTCCTCATGGTCTATACCCATGGTTGGTGATGATGATGTTGATGATGTTCCTCCTCATGGTCTATACCCATGGATGATGATGATCATGATCTTCTTTATGGTCTATACCCGTGGTTGGTGATGATGATGATGATCATGATCCTCCTCATGGTCTATACCCATGGTTGGTGACGATGATGATGCTGATCCTCCTCATGGTCTATACCAATGGTTAATGATGATCGTGGTCTTCCTCATGGTCTATACCGATGGTTAATGATGATCATGATCCTCTTTATGGTCTATACCCATGGTTGATGATGATGATGATGATGATGATCCTCCTCATGGTCTATACCCATGGTTAATGATGATCATGATCCTCTTCATGGTCTATACCCATGGTTGGTGATGATCATGATCGTCCTCATGGTCTATACCCATGGTTAATGATGATGATGATCATGATCCTCTTTATGGTCTATACCCATGGTTGGTGATGATAATGATCGTGATCCTCCTTATGGTCTATGCCCATGGTTGATGATGATGATGATCCTCCTCATGGTCTATACCCATGTTTAATGATGATCGTGGTCCTCCTCATGGTCTATACCCATGGTTAATTATGATGATGATCATGATCCTCTTAATGGTCTATACCATTGGTTAATGATGATGATGATGATGATGATGATGATCCTCCTCATGGTCTATACCCAATACCCATGGTTAATGGTGATGATGAACCTCTTTATGGTCTATACCCATGGTTAATGATGATGATGATCATGATCCTCCTCATGGTCTATACCCATGGTTAAACTTGATGATGATCCTCTTTATGGTCTATACCCATGGTTGGTAATGATGATGATCGTGATTCTCCTCATGGTCTACACCCATGGTTGATGAAGATGATGATTCTCCTCATGGTCTATACCCATGGTTAATGATGATGATGATCATGATCCTCTTAATCGTCTATACCCATGGTCAATGATGATGATGATCCTCCTCGTGGTCTATACCCATGGTTGGTGATCATGATCCTGCTCACGGTCTATACCCATGGTTAATGATGATGGTGATCATGATCCTCCTCATGGTCTATACCCATGGTTGGTGATGATGATGATGATCCTCCTCATGGTCTACACCCATGGTTGATGATGATGATGATCGTCCTCATGGTCTATACCCATGGTTAATGATAATGATGATGATGATGATCCTCTTTATGGCCTATACCCATGGTTAATGATGATGATGATGATCCTCTTCATGGTCTATACCCATGGTTAATGATGATGATGATGATGATCCTCCTCATGGTCTACACCCATGGTTGATGATGATGATGATCGTCCTCATGGTCTATACCCATGGTTAATGATGATGATGATCATGATCCTTTTTATGGCCTATCCCCATGGTTAATGCTGATGATGATGATGATCCTCCTCATGGTCTATACCCATGGTTAATGATGATGATGATCATGATCCTCCTTATGGTCTATACCCATGGTTAATGCTGATGATGATGATGATCCTCCTCATGGTCTATACCCATGGTTAATGATGATGATGATCCTCCTCATGGTCTATACCCATGGTTAATGATGATCATGATCCTCTTTATGGTCTATACCCATGGTTAATGATGATGATGACGATGATCCTCTTTATGGTCTATACCCATGGTTAATGATGATGATGATCCTCCTCATGGTCTATACCCATGGTTAATGATGATGATGATCCTCCTCATGGTCGATACCCATGGTTAATGATGATCATCATCCTCTTTATGGTCTATACCCATGGTTAATGATGATGATGATCATTATCCTCTTTATGGTCTATACCCATGGTTGGTGATGATGATGATGATCATGATCCTCCTCATGGTCTATACCCATGGTGGTTAATGATGATGATTATCATGATCCTCCTCATGGTCTATACCCATGGTTGGTGATGATGATGATGATCCTCCTCATGGTCTATACCCATGGTTGATGATGATCATGGTCCTCCTCATGGTCTATACCCATGCTTAATGATGATCATGGTTCTCTTCATGGTCTATACCCATGGTTGGTGATGATGATGATGATCCTCCTCATGGTCTATACCCGTGGTTGGTGATGATGATGATGATCATGGTCCTCCTCATGGTCTATACCCATGGTTGGTGATGATGATGATAATCCTCCTCATTGTCTATGCCATTGGTTAATGATGATGATGATGATGATGATCCTCCCCATGGTCTATACCCATGGTTGATAATGATCATGGTCCTCTTCATGGTCTATACCCATGGTTGATGATGATGATGATGATCCTCCTCATGGTCTATACCCATGGTTGGTGATGATGATGATGATGATCATGGTCCTCCTCATGGTATATACCCATGGTTGATGATGATCATGGTCCTCCTCATGGTCTATACCCATGGTTAATGATGATCATGGTCCTCCTCATGGTCTATACCCATGGTTGGTGATGATGATGATGATCCTCCTCATTGTCTATACCCATGGTTAATGATGATGATGATCATGATCCTCCTCATGGTCTATACCCATGGTTGGTGATGATGATGATGATTCTCCTCATGGTCTATACCCATGGTTGGTGATGATGACGATGATTCTCCTCATGGTCTATACCCATGGTTGATAATGATCATGGTCGTCCTCATGGGCTATACCCAATACCCATGGTTGATGATGATCATGATCCCCCTCATGGGCTATAACCATAGTCTTAAGTCTGTGGCTCCCCCAAATTTGCCAATGTTTTTCTTGCATGACATCTCTGTTTATAGTTCTTTATTCTTAAGTTAGTTAGTTATAACCACTAAACGTAAATGACTTGAGTGAAATTTGACTGACTGAACAACGAAGAATAAATACTTTTCAGTGACCTAGCTGTTCGTCGTGTTAACGATCAGCTAATGATGGTGGAGCGAGCGTTTATTGATCCCCTTGGATTACCCGGACGTCCAGAGTACAAGTAAGTTTCTATATATTAATATACAGGTAAAGATCTTGTAACTAGACTTAAACAACATAAATATAGTGTTAAGACAGGCCAGGAATCCAATGCTCTGTTTGTTCATTTGAGGGATAACAAGCATTGCATTGACTGGGATAATGCCTCCTCAATATTACCTTGTAATTCAATTGATAGTAGGAACATCATAGGATCTAGTCTCATTAAACATACCGAAGCATTCAACATGAATTTGAGTAATGGTATGTACAAACTGGACAATTTTGTAATTAAGAAGATTTGTAACCAGGTGAGAAGGTTGGGTCACCTTACCCTCTGACCTGACTACCGACCGTTGCCGTGCTATTTAAAGATTAGTAGGGTCATTACCTAATACCTGACCATTGTGGACCTGGTCTCACCCTCCTCTGTATATTTACACCTTGTTTTGTACTCCTCTTTAGTCTGTACTCACCCCTGAAGATGTGAATTACACGAAAGCGCTTGGGAACTTCGTGTTTTCTTCTTTCCTTGTGGTTATCAGCATATACCTAGATCACCCGCATTTTCAGTGATTTACTTGCATATATATATATATATATATATATATATATATATATATATATATATATATATATATATATATATATATATATATATATATATATATATACATATATATATATATATATTTATATATATATATATATATATATATATATTATATATATATATATATATATATATACAGTATATATATATATATATATATATATATATGTATATATATATATATAATTTTTTTTTTTATCTCTTCTTCTTTTATTTATAAATATATTTAGATATATGGTTATTCACATCAGTTGGCTCCATCTAAATGTCTTTCATCCTCCCCCTACTCCTCTCAGTGACATTTAATGAGCCCAGTCAATTTTCCTTGCTTTCACATAAATCAGTGGAAGCTTTTAAACAAAGTTTTCAGGTCAATTCATTATGAAAATAGACCAATAGAAATAGGAGGGATCAGCTGTGACATCACCTGCTTAACAGGTCAGGTCATTATCGGAACACAAAAGTCAGGGATCATCTCATAATGTAGCATCAAGTCAAGCATGCACACATACACTACTACTACTACTGCTTTGCTGTCACACGGAATCAAGTATGACGATCATCCAGCTATGAGACAATAATATGAGTTATTAAGGATGTCACCTTCATTGGTGAGTTTTAAGATGGCTAAAGAGGCCGATACGGGTCCAGCAGTGCCGTTCACAGATGTTGCACATGTGCATGTCTACATTTTGTGCGAATCGGGCTAATTCGAAAAGAATTGACACCTTCTTGTGTGGTGCTCCTCCAAGCGTTATGGTGTGGATCAATCGTCTCTCAGGGGTCGATTTGGCATTTTTTCAGGTTTGTCTTAAGAGTATCCTTATACCTTTTCAGTTGCACGCCGACTTTACGTTTACTATTCGTTAGGTGACAGTAAAGTAGCTGCTTTGGCAGTCTACTGTCATCCATGCGGGTAACATGGCCAGTAGGGTGTGTCAATTTAGGGGGTGAACTGGCTAAATTGAAAATCGAGTAATTTGGTAGCAATTTATTGTAGTCTTTAAACATGCAAAACAATATTCTGGCATAAATTTTTTTTTATAATAAGTCCTACCTACATCAAATGGATTTTTAAATGTACATATTTGTGAATTTATAACATAACCAGCGTTTGCACACATGTTACTGTTTCAAGTTTCAAAATATTATATTTTATTATCCGTAGTCTATTTGAAAGTAACCAATGCCTTCATACTCTCTTTGCTTTGGTTTCTTGTCATCAGTAGTCTGCTTGCTATTTGTGCTTTGATGTAACCTTCTCGCCTCTCGTGGCTGTAAACATGGCCCGCTGCTTCTGTGACCATTTTCACACATCTCTCCACACTTTGAGTGTGGGAAGGCCACTTCGGCACCTGCATTGGAGTCTCTTTAAGGTTTCTCAATTCTTGGCTAGTTAGACTTGTTGTCAATGGTGGCTCTAAGACTTCCAAACTCAAGTCAACCAATTCTGACAATTTGGTGGCATTGACGTTTATTGGGGGAACTTTTCTTGAATGAAACGAACAGTCTCCCAACTGGTCGTCATCTATTAGCGTTCCTCTAATCTTTAGAATGACTTCTACAGCCTCGGTTCGGAGATTGGTACATTGACTGCAAAGCATTGCTTGCAAAACTGCTTCTGATCGAGCATACCAAGCGGACCTTCTTGCCACAGGTAACACGATGTCCCTCACTACCTTCCTCTGTGTTCTTACTAGCTGCAATTGAAACAAAAGGTGATTGGGCCCATCCACCCACATAGGATTAAGTTTCACACTAAACCACTGGGGAAGATAAACTCCAATAATAAATTCAACAATTAACCTCAAATTCTTCAGCACTTTGCCCTTCAATTCGTGTTTGGAAATCCAAATCCTGCAGAAACGAAGAGCTGTAGTTAACCAACGGCTGTGACTGACAGGTCCAATCTCCAAGAGAGCCAATGACTGAGGCACTTCTCCTGATCTTATTGCTTGGGCAATACGATAAGCATAGGATTGATCTGTGCTGAGATCTTTGATGACTCCTTCAGACAACGCCGGAAGGGGAGGGCCAACTTCGACCTTTGGAAAGGTTGTATTTATTTCTAGTTGTGTTGCTTCATCCAGCATGATGCCAAGGGGACCTGACCACTTGTTGTTGCTCTTTGTAGGACCATCAAGTTCCTGGATGAGATGACGAAGAGGTAGCTCGCCTGTATGTAAATCACATACAATCCAAACAAGTCTTCTTCCTAGTTTTTTCTCTAAATGCGTCATTACACCCCCCTGCCATCCGGTGTTCACTGCAGTTGAATCTCCACCAACAGCCTGCAGTGAACTGCCAAGTCCTCTCTCCTGAACCCAACATAAAATATGATCAGCAATGACCTCTGCATGTTTCTTCCCTTCTACTTCAGTTTCGGGAGCAAAGTGAAACAAAAACCGACCACCAGGCTCAGAACAGACAGAGTAGTGTTCTTCTTTGATGAGACCTGGAAACTTTCTGTTCACTCCCTCTACTTCTAGCAAAACTTTTGTGTCATCTATTCTTCCATCAAACAAAAGACAGGAGAGCCCTCCCTCGCTTAAATCTTTTTCATGCTGATCAGATATTTCCTTCATTATTTTTTCTTGTGCTCTTCTAATTTTATTATGATCTATCACCAAAGATACATCCTCTCGGCTGATGAGGCCTGCATCTATCCAAGCGGCAGTTGCAATTTCTGCAGCCTCACGAAGTCCAGCATGGTGGCGAATACTAGCTAAAGCAATGTTTGAAATATTTCTTGTGTTGTATTTCATTTTCTTTGGTAAAGGTTCAGATGGCTCTTTGGAACTATCATCTGATGTTGCTTCCTGTTCATCAGAAGAACTATCAAAGAAGTGATAAACATCTTGACACAGCTCTTCCTCTCTTTGGATGGCTTCTTCACTCTTCATTTTCTTCTTTTGTTCCCTCTCTCGGATTTGTTCTCTCTTCTTGGCATTAGCAATCTGCTTCTTTGTTTCTGAATAATCTATTGAACCCATTTGCATACTTCCTTGGCCTTCTGCCTTTGTCCTCTGTGCCTTTATAAATTCAAGCTCTAAAACAGGGATCTTCTTTTCACGAGGACAACCACAATCAATGTGGGAATTATTTTCTCTCTTACCTGAGTGAGAACAGTTGGATTCAGAACATAATTGTATGGAGCACTTGCAGGTCAAAATGTCAAACAGAGTATCAAGTGTGTGCAGAAATTCATTTTTCCTGGCCAAGTTTCCTTTACCAAGTGATGTTTCAACTGCTTTGTGCCATAATTTCGTTAATTTTAGCTCAATAGTTCGACACTGATTAATCACAGGTGGTTTGAATAGTGCATTAGCTTTTGTCCATTGATGCAGAAGAGGGACTATCATGTCATTTATGAGTTCTTTATCTGTATAGTTCCTTCTGTCCTTTGCATTTTTTTCTCGAAGGAGTAACCCTAATCTTAGCATGTCTCTCACTGTTGGAAGTTCTGATACAGGAAGCTCCTTCCCTTTACCAACTAGCAGGCTCAAGTGGGTTGACAACTGACTTCTTGTCTTCAATTTTGACATCTTCACACTATCTGACAAATAGAAAAATATTTCAATGTTTCATAATTCAATTGTTGTTTCAAAAAATATCAATTTGTTTATCAAAAATGCTGTAACAGAAATAACATAATAATTTCTTAGAACATAATGTTTTATACAATGATATAAGTAACTGCGACAATCAATATGCCCTACTTACAATAATTAAAATGTAGAATTCGTCTGGTAGAGTAGGTGCAAGTGCAATGAGAGCAAACCACCGTCTATGATATCTAGAAGGAGAGTGAGCCGGGCGCCTTATCCTCACGCTTGGTACAAGTCAAAACAAGAATTAAACTGTCCCACACGGAGAGCCTGTTCATGTTCATGTTCTGACATGCATATTGTACACAAGCTATAGAACCATGAAATACTCCATAATCCATATGCTTACATGAGATTAGTTAATATCAAGTGAATAATTCTAATCAAGTCTCATTAATTTGTTGAAATACTGATATTTGAAACTTTCAGGTATAATTGATGTAGGTGAGGGTTATTTCAATTCATTTTTGTTTGCTAATCTCAAGTTTAGACATAAAGAGGCACAATATTTTGACTACCAAATTTGATTTTTAACATGTTGACAAAATTGACACACCCTAAATTGGCCAGTCCAACATACTTGTTCAAGGATAATGGTAGCCTCGATGCTCCTACAGTTGATGTCATCGTGAATACTGGCATTTGTTCTTTTGTCTTCCCAACAAACTGGGAGTATGGAGTGTAGACTACATTTGTAAACGTTTTCAAGTGTGTTGAGGTGCCTCCTGTATGTGACCCATGTCTCACTGCCATATAGCAGGGTGGGAAAGACCATTGCTCAATATATGTGCAACTTTGTAAATAATTTCAGCTCCCTACAG